GAATATTAAAAAAAAATTACATCTGGATGTTAATAAGCTGGAGTCAGGAATAAGGAATAGTTCCCAGAAAGGGAAGAGAAAATTAGCATTCTTTGGAAAAACAAATAAATGAATAATTTTTAATAATGATGTTTGATCTTTTCAGCAGTTTTATTAGGACTCACTAGGTATGGCTTTCTTTGTATTTGTCCAGAATATTCATGAATGGTAGAATGGATAAGTAAAGTGTTGGCAAGTGTTCATTTGCCAGTGGAATACTATACAGCTAGGAAATACTCTACACGATGGAATACTATACAGCTGGGAAAATGAATAAACTACAGTTACACACAACAGCATGGGTGAAGTTCACAAACATTCTGTCGAGTGAGAGAAGACTTACACAAAAGAATACATATATTTTTTCATTTATTAGGAAGTTGATATGTGATGTTAGAAGTCAGGAGAGCTTTACATTTGACTAGGAGTGATAGTATGAGAAGTCTGCTAATGTTCTATTTCTTCATCTAGGTGGTTTCATTTGATCTAGCTGGTTTCACCTAAACTAGGTATTTGCCTTGTGATAATTCATCGAGTTATATACTTCGAGTTTATATGCTCTCTGTAGTATGTTACACTTAAAAGGTTTGTTTTTTTTCCCTACAGATATGCTTGTTATCAATGGGAAGAAAAAAAGAAACCCATTTGAATTTAGTTTGAAGAAAGCAAACTGAAAATCTATTGAATATCACAGATATAATATTCCACTCTTTATTTTACAGACTAGGAAACAAACATTTAGATCTAGTAAATGCCCGATTTTAGGTCTCAGAGATAGTACAGGGTTAGAACTGAAGGCCATTCTTGAATTCCAAATCAAAATCCAGAGCTTTTCACCAATCTCCCATAATATACACATAATATACATAAATCCTTTTAGCTCTCGAACCAAAGACTGCATTCATTCATTCATTCATTCATTCGTTCGGCATCTGTTGTGGGCCAGTCATTGTGCTAGGCTCAGGGTCTCTTGTCTGCTTCCCTGTAGCCCAGTGAGCGTTGTAATACAAAAATAAACAGCTTCTAAGGAACACATGTCGGGAGCTATTAGAGCCCAAGTAGATCAGGGATGTTGTCCTAGAGGTGTATTTCATGTGTGTTAGATATTCTGGGAGGCACGTGTTCAGTGGTTAGGTGGGTAAACTGGGGTAACACTGCCTGGGTTGAAGCTTTGGCCATATCACTTACCTGCTAGGCATTATGACCAAGCTGCATAACTTCAGCTTAGTCACACAATCGCTCTGTGCTTCAGTCCTCTCAGCTTTAAATTGGGGTCAAATTCTGGAAGTTAATATACATAAGTCCTTAGGAAGGTTCTGGGCACATAACAGCAGGTACCAAGGATGAAGGGAGGCTCATTGGGAAAAGTCTGCCTCAGTGGATAGGAGCATTTTCTTACTGACATTGTTTAGAATTGTCAACACATGGTAGTCAAAAAAGCAGACTTGTTTTTGTTTGGGGGGGTGGTATTACTGTTTTTTAAATTCTCTATAGATGATTCAACTCCTTATTGCTTGCATCTGAAGCAGATCCTCCCACTACCAACCCCCCCCCCCCACTCCCAGCCTCTATATCACCAGGTACATAGTAAGCACTACATAAATGCGTGCTAGTATTATTCTCTAGGTTTGGAAGGCCACGGAGCAATTCCCCCAGAGGAACTGGGGGTGGGGGGTGGTAGGATGGGAGGAGGAGGCCATCCTGACAGAGGGAAACAGCACTTGCAAAGGCAAGTAGGTGAAAAGATTGTGTTCATTCAAACCATCAGTTAATACTCAAACCAGGAAGAGAGCAGGGCTTTCCTGAGGATAGTGGTTCCATTATTGGAAAGGAAAGCGAATCACTGTGAATTTTTCTTTGATAGGCATCAATGAAGGCCACTCACAGTTTCACATGAGATCCTTCTGCCTTCAGTTCAACATTTTCCCCACTACTCGGCATTGTACTTGGTTGCCTTTCTGCTCTAGAGAGTCAAGGATGGCTTGAAGATATTCACCCTTGAGAGTGTAATTCTGCCAACAAGCTATTTCTGTGCAGTGCTTCTTACTGCACCCAATGTGAGAGCCTACTTTGACGGTAAGAATAATCAACTGCTTTGTCTTCTAGAGGGTTCTTAATGCCAACAGTCCGTACTTCTCTATGAGTGCAATTAAATAAAGGGAGGTACAAAGCCCAGTTAAATAATTCATAAAAGCACAACTATAGAGAGAAAAACTTAGCTTGGTTTTTCCATCAGTCAGTGACTGGGCCACTACCAAGGCAAGGGACTCCTTTACACTGAGGACTGTCATACCATCATGGGAGCCCACAGCGGAAATTGAAGTCATCTTACTGAAGAGCCCTAGGGAGGACGGTCTTACCCTGCCTGAGCTGCTATAACAGAATACCACGGGCCATAACAAACAAGAAAGCACCTCATACCTGTTAGAATGGTTATCATCGAAACGAGAAGAGAAAACAAATATTGGTGAGAAGGTGGAGGGGGAAAAAACCCTGTGCACCATCGGTGGGGATGTAAATTGGTGCAGCCGCTATGGAAAACAGTATAGGTGTTTCTCAGGAAATTAAAAATAAACTTACCATGTGACCCGGAAATTCCACTTGTGGGTATAGATCCAACGGAAAGGAAAGCAGGATTTAGAAGAGATATCTGCACCCCAAGTTCACTGCAGCATATTAGTCACAATAGCAAAAATATGCAAACAGCCTAATAGTATATAGAATATTGTTGAGCTGTGAGAAGGAAGTACATTCTGCCATTTGTGACAACATGGATGGACCTTGAGGGCATTATGGTAAATGAAATCAATCAGGTAAAGACAAATACTATGTATGTGGAACCTAAAAAAAGCTGAACTCATAGAAACAGTGACTAGAATAGTAGTTACCAGGGGCTGGGATGGGAGTGGTATAGGGAAAAGTGGAGATGTTGGTCAAACAGTACCAACTTCCAGTTATAAGACGGGTGAATTCTGGGGTGCCTGGGTGGCTCAGTCGGTTAAGCAGTGACTCTTGATTTCAGTTCAGGTCATGATCTCACGGTTCATGAGACTGAGCCCCACTTAAGGCATGGAACCTGCTTGAGATTCTCTCTCTCCCTCTCCCTTTCCCTCTCCTTCCCCCTCTCAAAAAAATAAATAAACTTAAAAAAATACGAATACATTCTGGGGTTTAATGTACAGGATAGTGCTTATAGGCAATAATACTCTGTTATTTACTTGAAAGTTACTAAAATAGTAGATTTTAAATGTTCTCACCACAAAAAAAGAATAATTAGGTGACATGAGGCAGGTGTTAGCAACAATATGGTGGTAATTACTTTACAGTGTATACAAGTGTGTCAAGTCAACACATTATATACCTTAAACTTACACAGTGTTAGATGTCAATTGTATCTCAGTAAAGGTGGGAAAATATGTAGGGGGTTGGTAAAATTGACGTATTTATTAGAGAAATTGTAGAGAGTGCAATTGTTCCAAATAATTGGTACACAGCACCTGAATCTACCTGGAACTTTTTGGAACATCTGGAAAGGAAGCAAAGTGCCATTTGCATAATGTCAGCGCATTCCCTCTGGAAAGTGCCCCTGCTCTCCCATCATTGGATGTGGGATATTATCACAGTGAGGGCTACTGTTTGAGGATACCATGAAATCTTTGCAAGTGTAGGAAGAGGTTTTTGTCTTTAAAAGGTTGTGTCAAGATACCGTTCTCTGGTCTGGGCTTTGGCTCTTGTCTTGCCAGCTTCTGTGATCATTGGCAGGTACTGTGAGGCCTCTCCACCTTCCTAAGGTTTTATGAGTCCAGCAGGTCTCTGTCCTTATCTTTGTTACCGTGGTCCCCAAGGAGGCTGAGATTGTGTTTTGTTTTGGTGGTGGAGGTTCCTATGACATTTAATCTTCGGAACAACCCTGGCACCATAGGTATTATTAGGACCAGTTTTCACACTAAAGGAACAGATGTAGAGACAGTACACAACTTGGCCAGGGTCCTGCTGCCAGGACGTGGTGGGCTCGGGATTTAAACCTCCATCTATCAGCTACTAAATCTTAGGTATGCTGTTATGTGGCAGCATTCAGCAGCATCCCCGTTTGTGGAGATGAGTTCACTATTTCTAATCTGTTATTGATTAGCTTAAATTGTTGGAAACCTATTTCAGATGCTGAACTAGAATCGGTTTCTTTTTATTTATTTCTATATAAAATTGCCCTGTAGGAGCTGTACAGAATGTCCACTTTTTTTTTTTTTTCTGACAATCACTTTCAAATACTTGAAGGAAACTCTCATATATAGTTGGGGATGGATCCATAAAGAGGCGGAACATGAAGAAGAGCCATAGCATTTGAATTGATGGAAATGAGAGAGACGGACATTATATAGATAATCAAATATGACAATAGAATGATTTGTTGAATGTTTATCATGTCCAGTATTGTGGTAGTCACCTGCTACACATCATCTTTAGTCATTCTCATGATGCTGTAGGTGGATGCTGTTGTCACTTTATAGATGCAAAAACATACTCAAGAGATGTGGTGTAATCCAGTTCACCCAGGTATTAAGTGACAGAGGTTTGAAACTGGGCTTCTGTGATTCCAAAAACTATGTTTTCTTCACTAGCCTGAGCTTGGGTCTTGGCTATGCAAATTAAGTTACAAAAACAGCGTAATCTGTTTATCAGTCTGAACTCAGTGGAGTACAAGGCTGGGAAGGCCTTACTGTTTTTCGGTCACCAACTTAAACACGCTCTGCCAATTGACTCCATTCCAGTCCTCCATTAACATCTTACAAGGATTCCATTGCTTTTTTAGGCCTTTTTAGTTAGGACAAAGCCCAGCCCATGTAAGTCTCAAGTTCCAGTCTCATTTCTTTCCCTTTGTCCAACTCAGACCCAACAACCCAAGCCAGGTAACCTGCAGTGCATTCATTTAATCTTTTTTTTTTCCCCTAACTCTTTCAAAGGCACTTGAAGCAGAGAGCAGAGAAGTGGTGAAGGTCAAGTGACTATTTACTGATGATGTTGGAAACGTCTTTGACAGTTGCTGCTTCTCAAGGTAACTCTGATCAGCTACTGGTGCTGTCAGTAAGGCCAGCATCCCCCAATGGGTTAGATGTCAGGAAATGAAGGAGAAAGGGGAAGCCAAGTTAAGGTTTGGATGGCAGGAAAGATGGCGTTTACGGAAATGGGCAGGCTGGAAGGAAGTGAGCTGATTGAGGATAGGCATAATCCAAAGGGCATGGTAGAAGCTTCTACATGATGACTTAAATTGGAAAGACAGCTTTTGCTTTATGGAACTGGTGTGTTCCAGCTGTTGGTTCTAAAATGAACTCAACTGTTCTTGTTAACTGTTATTATAAAATCAAGGATGTATCCCCACAAGGAAAAAGGAATATTCTCAATAGACTCAATTAAAAACTTTTGGTGAGGGTGTAGTTGAAATGGTGGCCAGTTTTCCTAGCCCCTGTGGGACTATTGTCCCACTTGGTGGTTCTCTTCTCCTTTGCTGTGATTTTTTGACTCTTCAGTCTCCCCTAGGCTATCAAGCCCAATCCTGATCCCTTTGGGATAGAATGTAGTGTGGTGTCTATTACTGGACGAATGACTGCACAGTCTTAAAGCACCTTGAATTTTCTGGCTGGCTACAGAAGATGTCACATTTGCATTCAGGTTTCACATGCTTACTCCACTGCCATTTCTTACCTTTGGAACATCTCTAAAAATAAAACAACCTACTCAGAGCACCCATGAGGGTAACTCTGACCTGTATCCCTTTATCTTTACATGAACAAAAATCCTCCCCAAAAATGGTGTAGACATGGCATCCATATTTCATCAGACCCTTAGTTGTCGTGTAGATTTAACATTCTTTGTGTCTGTATAACATTTATTGGTCTATTATGAGAGAGCTCTCTTTTGAACCAGTTATAAGAAAACCCAATTTAGCAAATGGTAAGTTATGTCCCTATCTTTGCCCCCTGAGTGATTTGATCTCAGGCACCACAGGAAGTTATGGAGGTTTGGAAGGAGAGCATGAACAGGAGACGCCAGGAGATCGAAGAACTTAGGGACACCTTGGGAAAGAGAAGAGACATAAGGAGGGAGGAAAGGGCTACTGGCAAAGATGAAATTACTTTAGAAATATTTCTACACTGGTTTCTATGCGGGAAACCTATAATACCAATCCCATTGAAAAGACTGGGTCAATAGAGTTACCTCCTGAACTCTCAATTTATAGCACCAACATTTTCTCTAACTTTGTTACAGCTGAAGGCAGGAGTCATGTTGATACAAAACACTATTACAACTCTTCTTGAAAAGAAGAAAAAGATTTTCACAAATGCTTCCCTTCTCGTTTATTGTCACTACCGTTTTTCCCCAGACTACTCTCATTCTCGGCCCACGTAGGAAATCAGAAGATAATTTAAAATTAAATGATGATGGCTCAGAGCTTCAAGCACTTAAAAAGAGAGAGGAAAGAAACGCATCACATCTTGACAGGGCTGCGAGTGAGGGCTGGAAGACTGCCAAGGAAGCCCAGAAGAGCCATTGGCAAGAGGGGCTTTGGTACTTTGTGTGACCAGAGGGGACCTGTGCGACATTCTCCCTCATGCCCTGGGATGGGCATTTGAAGTCATGAAAACCTAGGGAAGAGTTGAGAAATAATGGAAAGCAGGTGTACACAGAGCATTAGTGAGTTGGGAAAATCAGGTTGAACGCTTGATTTACTAGTTACCGTCTTGTAATATAAACTTTCTAGGCATTTCTTCCTGTACCTAAAATAGCCTCACAGAATATGAAGAAATAAAATAAAATTATATGTATGTATACACACATATACTTATATCCATATATATATATCCATATATATATATATCCATATATATATATATATATACATACACCTATATATGTGCATGTGATGTGTATATATCACACACCCCACATGCACATAATTTTTAATCAGTACAGGGGTTGACATATAAAACACTTCTTCTAGTAATGGTATTAACTATTTTTATTATAGGATGTAAAGCCAGCTCTTCAGCTTACTTTAGCATGAGTTCTACTTGCCCATATGTGATGATATGCAAATCACAAAAAGGGCCCTCCCGTTTAGCATTTTCCATATCTTTGCGAGGTTCTCTGACTGTTAGAAGTAAAAAAAGCATAGGTGTCAGAGTCTGACAAGTCAGAATTCAAATTTGTGCTCTGCCACTCACGAGCCATAAAACCTGGGACACGTTACCTTTCTGGGTCTCAGAGTCCACATCTGGATAATGGCGTTATTTATTATTTCACACCATGGCTGGGAATTTTAATGAGGTGAAAAGTATGTAACAGTGCTGAGCAGATTGCCTGGCATATAACATACACTAAATCAGGGGTTGGCAGACTTCTGCCCAGGACCAGATAGTAAATATTTTAGGCTGTGCAGGCCTAACTACTCAAGTTAGTCATCATAGCATGAAAGCAGCCAGAGACAATATGTAAAAGAATGAGTGTGGCTGTGTTCCAATAAAACTTTATTTAAAAAAGACCTGTGGGTCACTCTGGGCCTGTGATCTGTAGTTTGCAAATCCAAGCACTTAACCAATATTAGTTTCTTCCTCTTTCCCCACTTGTCTTCTCGGAGATTTAGGTTTTCCATATGTGTAATGTTGAAAATGTTAGTTTATTTATTCAGCATCTGTTGTGTACCAAGGACCGCATAAAGCACAATGAAGAACAGAATGAATAAATTTTGCTTTTACCCGTGAGGGGCTTAAGGAATAACAGAAAATGTTTAACTTATCTAAGTTTGGTCTTTCTTCTTAGCCAGAAAGTGATTTAAAAGTATTTATTTCATGGAGCTTTCATGACAAAGAATTATGTTTAAGTGTAGATGCAGTGGCAGCCATCGTGGAAAAACGGTTATGGGACTTAGCCTTTCTTCTCTGAAGAACTGTAAAACTGGGCAAAGTGTATGAATAAACTGTTTTCAGACGTTGGACAACAGATAGCACAGGACTGCGATGCTTGAGATAGGGAAAACACCATATTTTACTACAGCTTTCTGCCTGGGGCCACCATCCAAACCTCAGCTCAAATAAGTGAAGCCCAAATGAAAACAAGTTGAGCCCAATTTTTTTAAAAAGTGTGTTTGTTTCTTTTTGAGCAGTGGTATCACTGACTAGAGGCAGGAGAGAGTAGAGTTTGGGGCTGCTGATGTAGCAGGAAGTTACAGATCAGGGTACTGAGGAGTAGACAGATACATAAGATGGCTTCAGAAATCTGCATCAGGGTCTCCTTGAGTTTTGGGGTGAAGAGAAAGCTGGGTATGCATAGATCAAGATTCAGTAAGATGAGGCAGAAAATAGCTATTGGATAACTGAACTGAGCAGAATCTTGGAGGTTGCATAGTACAGGAAGATGGAGTTACACCATCCAACGTGGAGGGACCTCATAAACACCCTGGGCATTCAGTTGAGACCCCTCAAAATGTATAACTGAAGAGTAGGGCTACTCTAGATTCATCATTAAAAAAGCTTAAAACCAAACCCTGATAGAATAAAGCTGATCTGTCAATAAATTAAATGCCATAACAAAATACAATAGTCTTAAAATTCAGACTTCTATAACAGCATAGAATCCATAATTGAGTATACATAATATATGAGAAGATATGCAAGGAAGTAGGAAAATGTGACACTTAAGTAGGAGAAAAATGAGTCAATAGCAACAGACCCAGAAATAAGCACAGATCTTGAAATCAGCCGATCTGTTGCTCTTTTTTTTTTTCTTTTGCCACACCCACCTCCCTTCCAGTGCCCGATCCCTAACCCCTAGCAACCACTAACCTGTTCTCTATTTCTATGATTTTTTTCATCGCAAGAATATAATAAATTAAATTACATAGTAGTCAACCTTTGGGGATTTGCTTTTTGCACTTGATTTAATTCCCTGGAGATACATTCAAGTTGTTGCATGTATTGATAATTTGTTCCTTTTATTACTGAGTAATAGTCTATAATGTGGATGTATCATTGTTTGTTTCACTGCTCATCCATCGAAGGGCCTCTGGATTGTCCCCACTTTTTGGCTATTACAAATAAATCTATGTACATATGTGGACAGGTTTTTTTGTACGGACATAAGTTTTCACTTCTCTGGGATAAATGCCCAACAGTACAACTGCTGAGTTCTATGGTAATCACAATGTTTAGTTTTGTAAGAAACTCTTTTCCAGAGTAGCTTTATCATTTTATAATCCGCTAGCAGTATATGAGTGATCCAGTTTTACTGAGTCTTTGTCAGTATTTAGTGTTGTCACTGTTATTTTACTTCAGCCATTCCAATAAGTTACATGAGATGCATTTTAATTTTTTAATGTTTATTATTATTTTTGAGAGAGAGAGAGAGAGACTGAGCACGAGTGGGGGAGGGGCAGAGAGAGAAGGAGACACAGAATCCAAAGCAGGCTCCAGGCTCTGAGCTGTCAGCACAGAACCCCATGCAGGGCTTGAACTCACAAACTGTGAGATCACGACCTGAGCCAAAGTAGGACGCTTAACCAACTGAGCCACCCAGGGACCCCATATGAGTTGTATTTTAAACATAAAGACATAGACGGTTAAAAGAAAAAAAAAAACCATTGATCATGATAAAGATGCAATAATTACATCAAGGATAGACAAAGTAGAGTTCAAGGAAAAGAGTATTACCAGAGATAAAAAGGACTGTTTCATAATGATATAAATAATGAATTAATTATTATTCATCAAGAAGACAAAACAATCTTAAATGTGAATGCAACTGTGACAGAGCCTCAAAACGTGTAAGTCAAAAAGTGATAGGACTAAAAGCAAAAATAGACACATCCAGTATCAGAGTTGGACATTTTAACACTTTTCTCAGTAACTGATTTGACAAATAGACTAGAAACTCTGAAGATATAGATTTAAACACTGCTATCAGCCAACTTGACCCAATAGATAATTATAGCACACTATTCAACAATTTAGGACATTTTCTTTTGAAGTGTACATAGGATATTTATCAAGAGAGACTATTTGCTGAACCATTAAAATGTGTTCACAAATTTAACATTATTGAAATCTTTTAGAGCATATTTTCTGTCAAAAAATTAAATTAGAAATCAATAAAAAAATATTGACACAGTTCTCAAATATTTAGAATAAGAAACATACTTCTAAATAATACATTCACCAAATAAAAAATTACAAAGATAATTAAGGACTATTTTAGTAAATGGTAATAAAAACATAAAGTATCAAAGTTTGTGGGGTACAGGGAAAACATTGTTTAGATGGAAATTTATAATGGCAAATCTTAGAAAGAAGAATGATTTTAAATCAACCATATATATTTGTACCTTAGGAAGATAGAAGAAGCAAAGGAAATTATACCCAAAGTGAACAGAGGGAAGGAAATAATAAGGAATAGAAATTGATGAAACCTAAAATGAACAGACAGTAAAACAAATCAATGAAATAAAAAATTGATTATCAGAAAAGATGAATAAAATTGAGAACTGATCTTTCTCAGCTGGGGTTCTGCAAGAGAATTAGACTTAATAGTATTAGATTGTCTATTTTCTCTATTCTAAGTTACACAGCCAATACATTTTAGATCAGTAGAAAACAGTTTATTTCATATTATACAATAGATGCTTTAGAGCATTAGGGCTTAATTCTTTTATGCAGTCCTACTTGGGAAGAGTTGTCCCAGCTATACTGATAAAATTTTTAATGGAAAATAGGAATTTCAGACTATCAATACCATAAATATAAAAGGGGCCATCACTATAGATGATGTGGACATTAATGATGAGGAAGAAAAATGCTATGAATGACTATGCCCTGAAATTAAAAAAACTTAATAACATTATAACTGTGTTGAATTTAAATAAGTTAAATTTATAACTTAAGGGTGTTTGGGTGGCTCACTTGGTTGAGCAACCAACTCTTGATTTCAGCTCAGGTCATGACCCCAGGGTTCTAGGGTAGAATCCCCATGTCAGGCTCCACTTAAGATTCTCTGTCTCCCTCTCCCGTTCTTCCCTGCTCGCACACTCTCTTTCTCTAAAATTAAAATATAAATATATTTGAAATTAGAATAACTGAATTTAGAAATATATAATTAGATAGTATATTTGACAAAGTGGGATTTGTCCAAGTGAATGCAATATTGTTTCAACATTTGAAAATCAATTAATTGAATCAATTTAATAAAATTAATGAAATCAATTAAGGTACAATATCACATTAACAGATTAAAAAGAAAAATTATGTGATTAGCTAAAACGCAGAAAAAATACAAAATTTAACACTTCTTATGATAAAAACTTTCAGCATAGTAGGAATAGCAGGGAGTCTATCAATCCAACAACACCTGCAGCAAATTAATGGTGAAATACTGAATGTTTTCCATATGATATTGGAACAAGACAAAGAAGGCTACTTCTATTCAACATTGTGCTCCAAGTAGTGGCTAGTGTAGTAAAGCAAAAATAAAAAACATACAAAAGGAAAAATGGCAATATAAATGTATACATAGAAAATTTTATGAGATTTATCAAAAAAGATCCTAGAACCAACATATGAATTTAGTAAGGCCACAGGATACAGTGTTGATATACAAAAACTAATTGCATTTCTATGTAACAGCAACACAATTTGAAGATTGAATTTTAAAAACCCATTGCTTGCACTAGCTTCAAAACATTAAATAAATATACCCAAGAACTCCTCATTGAAAACTAAAAAATACTACTGAGGACAACTAAAGATCTACATAAGGGAATAAATAAACAATTTTCATGGATTGGCGGAATATGTCAATGTAAATTTAATGTAAGATGTAAAATTTCCAAAATTTATCTATAGATTTTCAATGCAATCTCAAAATCCCAAGGCTTTTTTCTTCTAAAAATTGGCAAGTTAATTCTAAGGTTACTTGGAAATACAAAGGACCTACCTAGAACAGTTTAAAAAAAAAATCTTGAAGAGGAGAAACAAATTAAAAGATATATACTAGCTGATTTCAGGACACACCATGAAGTTACACTAATGAAGTAAGTGTGATCATTGTGATAGTGACTAACAATAGATCTTTAAGCTTGATGAAACAGAATAGAGAGTTTGGAAATAGACAATTAGTTATATAGTCAATGTGATTTTTAACACAAGAGTCAAAGCTACATTCAGTGGGAAAAAAGAAATTCTTTTCAAGAAATGATGCTCAATCACTGGATATTCACAGCGAGGAGGACAAAAACCTCCAAACCAACTCAGCCCTAACTTCGCATTTCACTCAAAAATTATCTCAAGATGGGTTGTGGAGGGTGCCTGGGTGGCTCAGTAAGTTAAGCATCCTACTCTTAATTTTGGCTCAGGTCATGGATCTCACAGTTGTGAGATCAAGCCCCACATCGGGCTTTACACTGAGCATGGAGCCTGCTTGGGATTCTCCTCTCTCCCCTTCTCTCTGCCCCTCCCCTGCTCATTCTCTCTCTCTCTCTCAACCCCTCCTCCCTACCCCGCCCTCCCTCCCTCTCTCTCTCCCTCTCCCTTTCTCTCTCTCAAAATAGATAAACGTTAAAAAAAAAAAAAAAAAAAAAAAAAAAAGATGGGTTGTGGACCTGACACAAAAGCTGAAAGTACGAAGTTTCTAACACTATATAATGGAATATCTTCATAACCCTGAGATAGGTAAAGTCTTCTTGGAAAATAATAATCATAAAGGAAAGAATTGATACATTGTTATTCAAAATCATGAACTTCTGTTCACTAAGAGTATTCATTAAGAAAGTGAATAGGTTATTGTGGGAACAAATACTCATAATACTATACAAGTATATGGCAAAGGACTTGTATGTAGAGTATGTAAAGAACACCTTCAATTCAACAGTGAGAAGAGAGATCAATAACAAATAGGCAAACTAGACACTTTGTAAAGGAAGATATATAAATGACCAATAAACACTTGAAAAATTATACATTATTGGTTATTGGGGAATGCAAATTAGTATTAAAATATCACTATATTTATATGATGGCTTAAATTTAAAAAGGCTGACAACACTAAATGTTGGCTGGGATGTGAAGCAATTAGAGTCTCTCACATAACTGGTAAGAGTACAACTGGTACAACCAACTTGGAAACTGGCAATTTCTTATAAAATAAAACATGTTTCTACCTTATAACCAAATAATTGCACTCCTAAGTATTTTACCAAGATAAATATGTCCACATATTGGACATATGTCCACAAGAAGCCTTTTATATGAATATTCATTGCCACTCTATTAATGGCCCCAAACTGAAACAACCCAAATGGCCACCAACAAGAGAATGAAAAGACATATTATAGCCATCAAAGGAAACTGTACTTAGCAATTAAAAGGAGGGGATAGATTTAGACATCTCTAAGGTAGAATCAGCACCAGTTAGTGACTGAAGATGGCCTTGAGAGGATTAGGAGAAAGGAAAAAAATATATGAAGGGAAGAAAAGCCTTAGGCATGAGAATAAGTGTATAGATTAAGATTCTCTGAGATTTGCTTAGAAACATTTTTTTCCAGTGTGAAAATAAGTTTCTTTATTAATTGAATGTTCCAGGTGGTTAGAATTCATTTGTTGCCATGTTTCAACTTCTTTTGTCCCTTTCCTGAGCCAATTTTCAGTGACTTCAAAGGATGTTTTAGCACTGTGAGTGTACCAAGAATGGTCTTGAAGAGTACTTCGTGTGCTTTAGTACTCTCCTCTTTTCTTTTTTTCCACAGTAGGCTTCACGCCCAGCGCTGAGCCCAATGAAGGGCTTGAACTCAAGACCCTGAGATCAGGACTTAGCTCAAGCTGAGATCAAGAGTTGGACGCTTAACCGACTGAGCCTCCCAGGTGCCTTCCCCCCTTTTCTTTAAGATTTTATTTTTAAGCAGTCTCCACACTCAACTTGGGGCTCAAACTCAACAACCCTAACATAAAGAGTCATATCTTCCACCATCTGAGCCAGCCAGGTGCCTCTCCCTGTTCTTTCTGTTGATGTTTTTGAAGTTCGGGTACTCGTGGGACAGCAGTGGAGTGGATGCCTGCTTAGTTACCTTTCTCT